TTTATTATATATTCGAAGCATGTTTTATTGCCATTTCACATTCTCTTGCTGTCCAAGTAAAACAGAGTTGCAAATTAGTTATAAGTATAGACTGTCTGCTAATTATCGTTGCAATACGAAAAGGATGAAACTGATAATTTATCCTGATCTATCTATGCAACTGCTAATATTAAATCATCAACAAACCATTCTCTCAAGACGGGTTATGCAAATTCGAGATGTAATTTGATGTTCAAGGTACAACAAAACGAGATGCACGCAACATAAACATTTGCAAAAGCCGCATATTATGATCTAAGACTCTAAATAATATAACAAAAATATCGATGTAATATAACAACAATATTAAAATATCAATCACATTACGATTTTAAAGCAAACTTGCGTGCCGTATTTATCCGAAATTAAAGCACAACTGCTTCCTTTTGTTTTCCAAAAAAAACTCTCATCAGTTTTAGGATGTTCATTAGATAAAACTAAATTAAGTTCAGGGTAAGAGCAATTTAAGCGGCGACCACACTATTTTAATTTTCGCTTTCGTATTAAGAAGCGTTCGCGTTGAGAAAAAGGGAAAAGGGGGGGGGGGGTTGACATCACATCCGTGAGCGCTCCGCGATTTATGAGGCCGTCTCGCAAATTACTCCTTCTCTGTAATTATAATCAATTTGGACAGGGCGCCCTCACAGAATCTCAAGAATCTTTGCCGAGCGAGGTCTAAATCCCGAGGTCATTTTCCGCGAGGTAAATGCCAATTAGCCGACCGGTTAGCGCGGCATTGCTCGCCGGCTGGGAGTACATTACTCGACGACGCGTAATACCCAACCCTCCTCGAGTTAAGTTAACTGCGAAATAACGTCCGACGATGTTACGAGCCGTTGACGAGGTTTCCCTCGCATGCGAGTATCGAGAAAGAGCGGGATGGAATGGCGGTTTGTCCCGGTTCTATCCGAAACTAGAAGATTGTTACGCGGAAGAGAAAAAGAAGGATCCTGAAGATGGAGCAGGAAACAGTAAGTTTTATAGTAATTATAATTAAGCCATTTTGTATCTCCTCGCGCAATTAATTTTGAATTTAAATCTGGCCGAGAGCAACGCTCAATTATGACGACGATGTATTTTCCGTGGTGCTGATAAGTGACTTATAGCGAAATTTATTTTGCGCGTTGACGTAAGTATGAGAAGCCGAGATCTGCAGATCTCCTACTGTAAAAAAAGAAGTTAAGTTGTTATATGCCGTACGCGATAATAATGTTGCAATCGGCGTCCTCGACGCAAAAATTAGCGACTATCACGAGTCATTTGAGTTTTCATCTCGGTGTCAGAGAATGACAGAGAGAATATCGTTTGCGAATCAAGACGACACACGATCGATCACGCGATAGATAAGACCGGTCATAATTCCGATCGACGTATTATTTTTGTCTTCGTGCATTTCGGGGGAGCAAAAAACAGGCATGAATAATCGTGATCGATGATGCGAAAAAATTATAGCTCGAGAGCTCAAGAACACATTCGTTTCGTAGGTAAAATCGCGAGTCTCGTTACTCGTAACAGACGCGAACGGGGGGGTGGGGTGGGGATTTGGGTGAAAGGGCGGATTATATTGAAATCGTATTTCCGCCATTGCGCCCCGTCGCAAATGACAGAGAGAGGCACTCGACTCTCGCGCGGAAATAATCGAAAATAAACCGCGCGGAAATCGCGTCGCGCGTTGCGCTCGCTCGCTTGGGTGGATGTACGCACTTACCACCACCGTTCTTGTAGCAAAGATACGGAAATCGCCACACATTAGCGAGATCGACGGCGAAACCGATGACCGACAGCAAGAAATCGAGCTTGCCCGACCAAGTCTCCCTGCCGTCGCCGGCGCTGTCGCCGTCCTTCGCGGCATTCTTTACCACCGTCGACGACATCCTTCCGGTACCTGTAAAGCAATGTTTGTCAATTAAAAATTAGATAAAGATTTCCAATTAGATAAAGATTTACCGTATTACATATATATTAGCATATCTGAAATTTATTCATAGTTTCATTTATTCATTTTTATCATTCATTCGATTCAAAATAATTGTGGGAATGTAATATTATTACGGGAATATTTTGCATTTCCCAACATTGTATTTTATCTCTATTAACAATGCATTTTTTAAAAGTATCAAAACTTACATTGTTTTTCAGTAACCGTATTAAAAAATTAGAATTCGAGATTTTATCTTGTCCTAAATCAATTTTTAATCAATAAATAAATCAGTTTTTCTGCCATTTGATAAACTAAAATTCTTTATTTTGAGAAAAAATAATAAAAAAATAATTACGCTAATATAAGAAAAAAGATATTTATAGATTTATTATTATAGATTTATTTGCTGAAACGAGGAAAAACAAAATGGAAATAAACCTGAGAGGAAATAAATTTTTCCGAGAGATTTACAACGAGTTCTTCAAGGGAAAAAAAAAAAAAAAAAAAAAAAAAGGAAAGGAAAGTACTACATTACGCGCACACTAA